TCACTCGAAGCTGCTCAGGTGAAACTGACATCATAAATAAACACAGGGAAGAGCAGGAGCCTTGATATACCTCTTGTGGAAAAGCTTCGAGAATGTTCTACAACCTTAGCATGTTACGTCATGTTCGAGCTTCGAAGATCAAAAACTGTAGGCTATCTAAAAAACACTGACAGGACTTTCTTTCCAACCTATATCTTGGGGTGTTCCGAAAATGGAAAAGAAACGTTTGCGTGGTCGTGGATTTTTGAAGGTTGGTGTTAGCTACGAGCGATACCCACTGAACCGATGTTGAAAAAGTAATCTAACGATAGTCGTTAAAGAAACGGGTAGTACATTGACACGAAGTTGTACGAAGCCACACATAACAAATGCAAAAGCCGCTGTCATTCCACCAATCGCCATGCGTTGAAGCAAGCTGGAAACACATCAGTTACACCGGAATCAAATAATGCGAGGAAACTACGTGGTCTTCATTCCGTTGTTATCCAGAAAAGGATATATCCAAGAATTGGAATATTGGTATAAAGATCATAACCATTAATGGATTAGCCACATGGATCTGATCCGGATAAAGGATAAACCAAGAAGTGATTTGACCATCCATCGCGAGAGCTTGAATAACCCAGCGAGATCCCTGAGTTGACGATAATTACAGCGTTGAAAACAGTCGGAAAGAGATACTGATCGCGAATAATATTTGTTCAGGTTTTTTCGTTTCGCAGAGGTGAGTATGAATGTGCATGCAATGATGAGACAAGATAGGCGGAGTGTCAAAAAAACATTTAAAATGGCACAAAATTTTATATTGTTCTTCTATGGTTTAACCAGGGACGTCGTTCAGGAAGCAGAGTGCTTAAAAACGATTTTGTATGATGTAGGGGCACGAGAAACTGCCAAACTCAAGCTCATTTTCCTGGACGTCCATGGAAATACGAAAAAAAAATGAAAAAGAGTCCCATGGGAATTCAATGCTTCTAAGTCTCCTGTGTGCTGTAAACCACTTGCAACTTTGACCAGTTGTGCTGGGTCCTTATAGGGGGCCATCGAAATCAAGGTGAAAAATAGTCGCAACTGGGATATTGCTTGTGTGACAGGCTCCAAAGTCAATGGTTTTTCAAAGTAATTTCTTCAGGCTACATTTGGCTGCAGCGATTGAATAGTGACCTAGTAGATAGTGTGAACGATTTTCATTTGGACAGTGATGACGGTGTGCTTCGATTCCGGTTATGTGCCGATGCAGACGTGGCGTTCGGCTAAGTCATCGCGCAAGCGGACAAGCGACACGGCAATCTTCCATTGCTAGTTACTGCGTTCGTACCTACCAGTAATGTTCCCGTCACAGCTCCTATATCACTTTTTGGAACAAAAGTTTCGTTGCTACCAGGACGGGCGGTACGGATTCCGTGACACGCACACATACACACATAGACATAGCGCATCATATACAGTAAGATAGGATCGTTGCCACCATCTCACTTCGAGGCATTTTGCGGAAGGACACACATAATTGTAAACCGATTTACAGGCTTACAAACTTCATAAAATAGAGTGCAAAATATTTGGTACATGTCATTCACAATTAAACCAAAGGAACCTGTTGCTCGAATAGTGCCCAGAACATAGGAACCGGTAAAAGCATAACAACAACACGTAATACTCCTTTCAAGTCTCCAACGAGTTTCCTCTGAAGGAAAAAAGCTTACGTTGAGTATAAACTTATGCAATAAATAACTATCTATGACTAGATATTTGCGATTTGAAAAGTTACAGAATTACCACAAAAAATATATCGAGTGAAGAATTCGAACTATTTCGACTCGACAGTGGCCGAGGGTGCTGCCGTCTCACTCCCCGAAGGAACGTCGCCCAAAGTAAATCTGCTATACCCATCTGCATTCGAAGTATGCCAGCCAGGGCACATCGCGACGTAATTCACTGTACAAAAAGAAGGGCTCGGTGTTTGGCCGTAATTTTCTATTACTGATCTGGTGCACTACAGGCCTTAGTCATTGTTGTTTCAACTTTAGTAGGCCTCATAGTTAATGAGATATCTATCTATTAGGTTGTTGCATAAGTTCTTATACACGTGTTTGATCCTCTCCTATTTCGTTCGCATGGATGTTGGTATTACGTCATCACGTGTGCGTGACGTGTACATTATACTCTTTCATTACACTAGCTATCACTCACCGAGCTTGCATTTGCAGTACACAATGTCGCACAATTTGCACTGTGACAAAACGTACCTGCGCCACTGTTTGGTTTTGCTCCACGATTTCGGCTGGAATGCAAAGGAAGCCCATACCAAGCTGGTGGATACATACGGTGAGGACGTCATCTCTTACATGACATGCAAGAATTGGTTCGCCAAATTCAAGAAAGGAGACTTTTCTCTCGAAGATGCTCCGAGGTCGGGTCGGCCGATGGAGTTGGATTTGGAAGTACTACGTTCCACCGTGGAGGAGGACCCGTACCTCACCACCAGAGAAATGGCGACCATGCTTAGCTATGATCATTCGACGGTTGCACGTGGACTAGAAAAGCTCGGCAAGGTAGCAAAGCTTGGTCGATGGGTCCCACATGAACTGTCCGCTTATGACCTCTCGAGGAGGGTGACCACCTGCACTTCTCTCCTCACTTTCCAAAAGAGGCTTCACTTTCTCAACTCGATGATCACTGGAGATGAGAAGTGGGTCCTCTACGATAACCCTGTGAGGAAGCGGCAGTGGGTCGACAAAGGAGAACAGCCAGAAGCCACCCCAAAGGCCGACCTTCACCCCAAAAAGGTTCTCCTGTCCTGTTGGTGGTCCAGAAGAGGCATGGAGTACTGGGAGCTGCTGGAGAAGGGACAGACGATTGACGCTTCCACATACGTGACCCAGCTGCGGAAATTGAAAGATCACGTCGACCGTACTCGTGGAAGGAATGCGGAAATCTACTTCCACCATGACAACGCCCGACCTCACACTGCAAAGGCGACCCAGGCCGAGCTGGAGAAGTACGGATGGCTGATGGTCGCCCACCCTCCCTACAGCCCTGACCTCGCTCCTTCTGACTACTGGCTGTTCAGCCACCTGCAGCGCTATCTGGACGGAAAAAAGTTCGAAACAAAGGATCAGGTCAGAAAGGCGCTCGACGACTTCTTCAAGTCCCAGCCTCCGTCGTTCTGGAAGGATGGAATCGACAAGCTGCCTGAGCGCTGGCGTCGAGTAGTGAATGGTGATGGTGCATACCTCTAATCTCCAGGCTGGTTCGTTTTTTGAGATATTTACAAAAAAGTCGTGTATAAGAACTTATGCGACAACCTAATACCCCCCCTCCTCAATACTATGTACAGAGAGGTGTCGCGACTATTTCTACTTGGGACCAGGCTAGACTTCACTCTGCTCTCTCGTCTTCTGCCCTTTAATCTTCCAGCAGGGTCTCGCTTTCTAGAATGTTTCGGTGTGAAGATCTCATTTGAGGCCTATTCGACGAATTTGTTCACATTTCCTTTGCTGGTAATTAACACGTTCGCGGCGGCGTGTACTCCCGGGAGTACACGAAAAACTCCGCTTTCGGCGAATCGTGTACTCCCGGGAGTACACGCGCCTATTCGCTGGTTTTTTGTATTTTCTTTTCTTTTTCCACTAACAATTGGATATAAATAATAATCAAACAATAGAGAAATAATATCCACACATTAGAAGAGGCGTGTATACCTGAAAAAATACTCAAAAACTTTCCTCTTTAGGCGAATCGTGCAGTCTTGGTAGTCTTCTCTCGTTTTTTAATGTTTTTTTTCTTCTTTTCACTGGCAATTGTGAACAAATCATAAATAAATAATATACAAGTTATTAAGAACATTTCTCGTGTGTTTTTTTGGAACCAGGTTACACAGTAGTGGTTTTTACAAGAGGAAGTAAGAACATCAAAGTCTACATTTTCTTTGTGCGGTAACTTCAGTGAACATCAAAAAGGGCAAGAAAGCTAGTTCATTTACCGAAACTTAGATAAAACTTGTAGAAGGGAAAAATGTAAAAAGAATGGCGAAAAACGGCTTTCGTGAATTTTTAGGCGTTTATGGTTCCGTCGCGAGCGCGCAACCATGAACGGGATGACTGCCCCCCGCGAACGCGACGCTCGACAAACGGGAGTTTTTGACGAAACGGTGCCGTCGCGAACGTGTTAAACCAGCATCTATGAGTTCGTATTTGGACACTAAAGCTCACGAACTGCATTCACTTCATGCGTCGCCAACGATTGCTCACTTCTGAATTCTATGTTGCTTCTATCTCATCACAAAATAGTAACTAACCTTGGCGCATCGACGTTTCTTCCTGTATTCAGGTCTACAACATCTTTCATCATCTTCACACTCATGATCTACCATTGGCATAATCTAACCAGTGATCTTGGGGTTCAGTTGCGTTAGACCTATTGCGGATGGCGCTCTGTGAAAAGCAACGTAAATCACAGAAGCTACTCTCCAACGCTGGTGAACATCAAGCGAAGTTCATTAAACTTACTGTAATCACTGAAAGTACAGTTGCAAGAATATTCTCTTTCGGTGGGTTTTTCACGTAGTAAGGTGATCCGATGACAAAAATCACTAAAACGTCAGTATTTGTACCTTTCGAATTGGTCAATAATTACTACGGGGCACCAACCTATAGCTAGGACCATCAGACCTGCTGGTACACCAAAAGCCAAAGGAAAGCAGGAATCCTGACCCATGCATGAATGTGCTTGAAACATACTGTTAGTTAAGGTCAAATTCAGAAATACTTGAGAATACCACACAAATTTTTTAAACTATATGTATTCCACCTCTCCCATAGTTATTTGATAGCTTATTCATAG